TCCCTTTTCAGTTCTATCAGCTTTGGATTTATAGATTTTGAAGCTGCGTTATTAGGTCCATACCCATTTCAGATTAATGTGGAAGTCACCCTGTTAATTAGGATTTTATCCGCTTAGGTTTTACTTGTCATCCAAAGAAGTATGAGGCCCGTGAGGGCAGTAATTGTATATTTTATCTCTATTTTTTCACCCAGCACAAGATAGAACTGTTTCATACTACATACACAATAAGTGACTGATGAATAAATGAAAGAATGCTTCCTCTCCCCAAAGTTTTGGTCCCTTTGTTTCCCAGACAGTGCTTTGTGAAGAGAATAAGAGCAAATCCTTGCTCTGTGGGCACTTCTCTCCAATGACACATGCTTAATTTGGGAAGCCTGCACTGCAGCAGAATTGTAACAGGTGCTGAATGTATAGTGGAAAAATAACATACATTTCTTCATTTTTGGGAGCTTATAGCACATGAGGGTTTTATATATGTGTGTTTTATACATATACATATATAATCATTATTATAAGGAATTGGGTCGCACGATTATGGAGGCTGAGGAGTTCCAAAATCAACAGTCAACAAGCCAGACACTCAGGAGAGCTGGTGGTGTAATTCAGTTTGAATCTAAAGGCCTGAGGACCAAGATGGTATAAATTCCAGTCTGAGTCCAAGTCTGAAGTTAGATGAAGACCACTGTCCCAGCTCAAAGGCCATCCGGCGGGAGGATGGCCTTTTCAGGGGAGAGTCAACCTTTTTGTTTTATTCAGGCTTCCAAACTGATTGGATAAGGCCTGTCCACATTAGGGAGGACAATCTGCTTTACTCTACAATTAAAATGTTAATCTCATCCAGAAACGCCCAGAATAATATTTGACCAAATATCTGTGCACCCCTTGGACCAGTCAAGTTGACACATAAATGAACCATCACAGGGATAGACCATCTTAAATGAGGCAGTATAATGGGGTATTTATGTGTGCTGACCCTAGAGCCCAGAAATGACTCCTTCTCCATCAGTTACTAGATTGAAATCCTGGAAGTGACTTAACTTCATCTGTGCTTCAGTTTACTCATCATGAATGTGTGGTTAACAAGAATACCCATCTCCTTGGGGTTGGGGTGAGAATTGCTTGAATTGATGCTTATAACAAATGGGTTTTAAATATTTGACATAGCTATTATTATTAAATTAACATCAAAACAGTTACATAAATATTTTAAACACTCTTCACACAGGACACAGTACAACTAGCCCCCCATTTGTGTTTTCCTATTTATAGCTGAGTCTGTTCTGCTTCCCTAAAACTTCACTCCAGTCACTTTGATCCTGTGAAGTCGCACACATCCAGATGCATCTCTGGTTATTTTATAAGCCGCTAACCTAATTCATTATATGTGGATTTTATGGGCTTAACTCTTCTTATAGGATGATTGTCTTTCTTTCGTTCTTAAGGATTGTCCCATTGTTCCTATCTGTGAAGTCATATGTATGCGCAGCATAAACGAGATGTAGAAATTCAGGGGAGGGAAAGTCATTACTGGCTAGAATGACTAGGGTGACCTGTCTAGATGCCAAATGGCTTAATCAGAAATGATCTGATCTAGACCTGGCTATCAGAGGCATGTGCAAGGGATTTTGTAGTGAAGCTATTTTAAGCAAAGGACTTAAAAATTTTTAGTCTGGAGTTCCATAGCAATGAAAAACCTTTTTGAAGTTAATTATCCTTCTTATCTGAAATCATGCTCTTAATTCCGTACCATATAACTCTTCCCCAGGGTGCAACTTTCTTAGCCCACAAGCATCTCTTTGCTATCTACCATGAAAAGGGACACGAAGCTCTAGTTTTTGCTTCTAAATTCTTCAGTTAAAATGGAAAACCTCCTTTTAGACTTTCTAAAAACTCACCTTCTCTAAAATCATGGGGCCTGGTTCTTAAACTTTATAGAAGAACCTAGGTCTTTGAGGCTGGCATACATTAGCATATTAAAGAATGTGATACACAAATGTTGCTTTAAACATACTAATATGTTAAAACATGACCAACTTATTCTGGTTAAATAATTTTAAGTCAATTCAAAATTAATTAACTATATGGATTTTTAGAAGAAAGAAAGTCATGGCACAAAATTCAGTCTTTCAGGCCCGGGGTGTACCACTTCCTCAGTCTTATCAGCCCCCCTCAGTATCACTTTATTTCCTCATGAAATCAGAATAATATAGCGTGTACTTCACAAAGTGTACGGGGTAGTTATGAGGAGTAAAAAAATACAGTATATAACGGACTTACCTAATAGTAGGAAACAGTATAAGTACATTTTAAAGTGTTTATTTACTTGCAAAACAACCTTTATGCAATAGCGATAAGATCTAAGATTATACCATATATGTAAAAAAAATTACAGAAAATAACTGTAGCTTTGGATAATTTACTAAGTCAAATAGTCAAGAGATGCCAGAATTGAATTTTATATCAGTAATCTCAAGGGAATATGTAATCGACACATGGTGTTTATGTTGCAAAGATGAGGAAATCAAGTCAGAAAATTTCTCAGGTTCCTCTAATCTCCAAAATTCGGAACCTGATCCCCACACCTGGGTTGTATAATTTCAGGGGGTTCACCTAATACAAGGTTCTCTGCATTTTGATAAATGACCACTAGAGGGCAGGAGAACCAAACGAAGTCTTCATACCGTTCACCAAGATTGAAGTTCTGCATTAGAAGGAATACTAATAGGTAACGCAACTAATACGTAACTATTCTCAATTAAAAGGTAACTATTTTTTATCATACAGTTGTTTTTCCTCAGTTATATTTCCGAAATAAACAAACCCATCTCTAGAGAGTCACAAAACATTTCCCAGGTTCGGTGAAGCACATTCTAAATAGTAATCTACTTAATTTACAGTTTGTGAATTTTTCTCTGCAACTATAGACAATCAGCAATAAAATAATTACTTCTAAAGTGATGTCTTTTAAAACAAAAACTTAGCCCTACATTTTTTGCCTGTTGAAAGAAATATTAAAAGTTCCTTTTCTCACATTGCTTCAATGTATAAACTATTTTTGAAAATTAAAAAAGCTATGTGTATTATAAAAATAATCTCACAACATCCAGAATGTTTTAAATTGTCATCTACCTCATTGCTCCATTCCACAGGTAACACTGCTAAGTTTCTTATATACTGTACTACAAAAATGTACTCTGCATACCAAGCATAGTAGATGGATGGGGAGAAAACATGAGGTCGCGCATGCGCCACACCTGTGCCCAAGTGGGGATGCACAGAGGAAAGGGCCCCACGTGGGAGAGGTATGCAGCGGGTCCCTCAGGATCCTAGGGGCTCTCATTCCCAAAGCAAACCCTGGCCTCGGGATACTGAACCCTCCCTTCTCCTCTGGACTCGGCCCACCTCTCGGGCCCTGGGCCAGTCCCCAACTCTCCTGGTCTCAGATTCCCCCAGTTGTCCCAGGAGGGGATGGACACGGAACTGTGGGAGCCTCACTCGGTGTGGACACGGCCTGGGCTCCTCGCCCCCAGGCCCCTGGGTGGGTGCAGCAGGATGCGCTCAGGGGTGCAAGGGCCTCCCTCCCACGTGCGGACTCAGCGCTGGGCCAGCGGCCCCGCGTCCAAGTCCACCTCCCGGCGCACACGCAGACCCCGGGCAGCTCGGGCTACGAGACCCAACATGAACATCAGCCATTGGTGCACTGGGAGCATGAGCTCAGGGCACCAAGGGCTCCCATCCCGGCCGTTATCTCACGGCCCCAACGGCCGCTGCTCTGCGACCCCATGACCCCTGGGACCCCCGGGCCACCCTACTCCAGTCAGGCTGGCTGGAGACCTGAGAACATGAAAGTCACAGAATATCCCCCATACACAACCTGCTGTCCTGGTCCCCAGACTCCTCCCCGAGGCCAGCTCGGTGCACGGCTGGGTCAGGGGGCCTAGAGGTAGCGTAGACACGGGCCTGGGCAGGAGAAGGGCAGGCCGCCCCGCCCCTCCTCCACACCCGCCTCTCCCTGCCTTCTCTGGCAGGACCCCAGGACACGCACCAGGTACAGCCTGGCCCTGGCT